CACACACACACACACACACACACTCTCTCTCACACACACTCACACTCACACACACACACACACACACACTCACACTCACGCACACACTCACACTCACACACACACGTCTGGTTCACTATACTTGTAGGGACTCCCCATAGGCTTAATGGTTTTTATACTGTACAAACTGTATTTTCTATGTATTTACCTAAACCTACCCCTCACAGGAAACTTTGTGCATTTTTACAATCTCAAAAAAACTAATTCTGTATGATTTATAAGCTTTTGTACCCATGGGGACCTCAATTTAGATCCCCACGGTTACACAAATCCCCATGAGTTGGTGTGTATTCAGGTTTTACTCCTCACCAGTGTAGAAAAACCTACACACACACACACACACACGCACACGCACACGCACGCACGCACGCACGCACACACACGCACACACACACCTAAGGCTTAGAGCAGTCACTTATTAGGGATCTCACTTTACAAAAAATATTGTTGTTTCTCTTCATATATTTATACTTTGACATTGTACTTCATTTATAAGTAGTTTTGAGGAAAAAAAAGACAATAAAGTCACCTAATAATAAAAAAACCTAATTGGATGACAAAGTGAAAGTGAAAATGACAATGCTTTGTATTCATACTCTTTATTTTGTGTTCTTTAGCAAAATAAATTCTGCATATTTAACAGATTCAATACATTAAGCAAACTCATAAAAAGGAAGGAAATTTAAAACATTTTTTAGATTGACCAAATTGATTTTATCTATATGAAAGTTATGACAACAACAATAATAATAATTTTACACTTACAACTTGACTAGAGGTCAGTAAAAAATATCAGATATTTTTTTTCCATGATCTTTGAGAGCAACACCAGCCAAAATGTTATATAATGTTTTTATTGTCAATAAAACAAGTCTTTATTATAAGAATATATGTGATGAATTTTTAAATGTTGCAAAATGTAAAGCAAAATATAAAATGAAAATGATTAAAATGAGTTCCGAACTAATATTCATTGAGGTTTAGTAGTCATTTACAAGCAACTTTGCATTTACACAAAATTTGTATTCCCACTCAGTACAGTAGATTTTGATTTCTTATTTGATTCAATCAATAAAATCAAAGTCATTAAAAATACAAAAATCTTTTTAGATGTAGATTTGCCAAATTGCTTTTAATTTACATTAAACTTACCCCAAAAAACCATATGGTTCAAAATTAACTTTACACATACAACTCGAGTAAAAATGAATAAGCGCAGAGGTCAGTAAAACAATTATTTGATCGCTTTTTTCAAGCTCTTTGAGATTAACATCAGAAGAGTCAAATATATGCTATGTTGTTACTGACTTCTCTAGGCAAGAGTAGGCTTACAAGAATAATTGTGATAAATGCATGTTACAATGTGTATTAGATTGCAAAATCATTTTTTTCCTCATTCCAATCTCTGGAAATCTGAAAGATTTTCCTTGAGGTTTAATAGCACTTTTACCAGTGGTTTCATAGTGCACACTTACACCATCCACTCGTGACGTCACTAGCGTTGGTAGCATGCAAAGGGCACTGAACCGTTGAACGCCCCTCCCAACCTTCAGGCTCTTCATCACAAGCAGCCTCTGTGCGTTCACTTTTCACTGCATATGATCAGCTGCCGTTGTTCCATTGTTTACTGCTCAATCATTTTTGGTGACGCAATATATCGCCCATTATATTTACTCAAAAATTGAAGTCACCATGTTTTGTACATTCTACTTGCGCTTGTGTCTTTTGCAGCTTCTCGTACATAATGTGGTGTAGTCATGAGGTGTTAAAAAATGCTTCTACAAACAAAGTTTCATCTGCAGATATGGTCTTGTTTAGGGATCTGTGCCAACATCTGACTGCTAAGTAGGGATTGTGTTTTTCAGCAATACAGTGCACCCTTAATTTACAGAGAAAAGAAGGTCCGGGAGAAATCTGTAGATGGAAAAATCTCCAAACAAGTGCTTTTTCTTTTTTTCTACTTGTTACTTTGCACTTTTTGTTAGAAAATGTTTATTTACTGTTTATTCATGGTTTTTTTAAGGTATCTAATATTTTGACACTTAATTTGCATGATCTAAATATTCTTAAAAATGAAAAGTTTGTTGTCATTTGGAAGTGTGTAGGCCTTGTTGCATTATTATGCCGTTACATTATGATTATGTCTTCAGTGGCATAAAATGGTCTTTAAAATGACAATAATATCGCTTATCGCAATTATTTCTGGGGCAATATATCGCACAACAAAACGTTGTTATCGTGACCGGCCTAGCTGTCTGTATTTCTCTGTTAGGCTCTCACAATGCACCAAGACACATGTCTTTCGAGAACTGTAAACCTCTTTCTTATAAATATGTCATTGCTAACGTCAGATAACAGTGGCTCTGTTAGCAAATTTCGAAGTAGCGGTTTCCGTTCGAATCTTCAGTCTGGATTTTCTCTTTGGCCATTTTGGTGCAACTCCAATTCCATTAAGATTTTTTTTTAGCTGTTTTGACTGTGATCACAATACGTATACATATTTATATTTTCATGCTTGGAAACCGCTTTTAGTCGTCATCCCAGTAAACTCGCACACATGGAGGAGAATTGCGGGAGTGGCGGGGGTCATGATTGGCTGTTGCTTGGCGACCTATGTGTTGCACGTTTCCGTGGCAACTGCTTCCTCCATCTCCTGCACTGAGCACCTTTGGTGTGCCTGGCAGCAGGGTTTGTCTCGCTATGTCTGCAGCGTTTACCAGCGCTCAGAAAATAGGCGAAGACCCAAAATGTCTTCTATTGGATATTGTGTATTGTTTTGCCATTCCCCAAAGCATGTGTGGGGGTTAATGCCTGATTGTGTTTGGATATCCTTTCCCAGGCACTCTGTTTTCCCTAGTGGATGTGAGTGTTTCACAGGCAGGGGTACGAGAGAATAATGTGATTGTAGATATGCATTCGTAATCCTCCTCCCTAAAACCCTGCTGGCTAAGGAGAAAGAGCTCACTTATATTTCTCCTTCTCTGCCACAGCCTCCTTAAAAGGAGCTCCTTGGCTTTGTTTGCTCACAAACAGACGGGTGGAGCTTCTCCAGCAGGGAGGTGCTGGTCTTGAAGACATACTGCTGAAATGTCTGTCATGTTCAAGCACTTCAGATTGCTTTTTTTGAAGGAAAGGAATGTGGCTTCATAAGTGTGCTGCTCTTCTGGTTTGATTTCTTTCCTTGTCTGTGATATAGGCCTAGGCCTGTTACATAATCGCAGACAGCTTTGTGCTACTGATAAATAAGACTGAGGGATACAGATAAAGTGAAATTTATTTAGGTATATATATTTAATGTTCATGTATTTGCTTTGAAGTGCCTTCAAAAAGGCTGATTTATTTGTTTTCATAGGAATCTTATGTATTTCTGTGTGTCATAAGAGCTAACTTGTTGATCAAACATCTGTACTGTTTGCATTAAACATTTTGAAGTATTGTAAAAATCTAGTTTTCGATGAATTTACACAAGGAAGAATGACATTGATTTGGTTTCAGTTGTGTGTGCGAGTATAATGCAAATGCATAGTACACTGTAAAAAAAAAAAGTACACCTTTTTTTTTTTTTTTTGAAGTTGTAAATAAAACAATCATTATTGGAGTATGTTTTACAAGAAAATAACATTTCAATTTTTCGACTTAAAAATTGCTCGCCATTTCTTTTGTCTTTTTTTGTGTGAAATCTTCTAACACTTGATTAGTGAAAACTGTTTAAACACCAACATTTTATTAAATTGTTTTCAGTGTCGCAATGTTGACTTACATTTTATTATTTTTTTTTTTAATAAATGGAAAATGACTTTTGGGAATCATCGAATTAACTTGAACATTTGAACTGAATCACATAAATTAATCAAACCTACCAGTTTTTTTTTTGCTATCATAATACTTTTGATATGCTAGATGATGGATTGTAAATAACAAGCTTACATTCATTGCGGTTTTCATGATGATGCTTAATTTTATCATCAAATTATGAAAAAAAATCACAAATACTCAATAAATCGACCATCCCTACACTCAAAAAATAAAATTGGTGTAGAAACAATTTTCACTTAGAAATGGCTTGTAAATTTCACAAATAATTGCAAGGAAATGGCAAGTAACACAATTAATTAAACATGAAATTTTGAAGCAGAAAATTGAAAAGTATCTTGTTGTAAAACATACTCCAGTAATCGGTTTTATTTACAACTTAGATTTTTTTTTCTACTTATAATGAAACTTAGTTTGTAACATTTATACTTGCATAGGTAATGATCTTAAGACTAGCTATTCTCATTTTTCCAGCATTTCTTGTAAGCTGATATTATTTACCTCTGACCTTTCAGGTGACAGTGATGGGACTTGTGGGTAAATTGTATATAGTATGACTCATGTACCTTTGTATGGACAACTGACTTTCATTTTCTAAATACAACCTTCAGACCCCTCAGCGTTTTATTTAGCTGAGTTCTTGTGCCATGGTTTGTTACAGCAAGACACCAATGCAGACCGCAAATAGCTGATACAATGCAGTTTTAATTTACACATCACTGTGTGTCCGCGATGTTACCATCTGTGATTGATATTAACACAGATCACAGCATTATTGTCACCCCCTTTGCTGACACAGATGCACTGAAGTATATTTCCATCAAATTTTATTCGCCACATAAACAAATCAGGGTTTTTCCGGGCTCAAAATGAGGCGGAGGTGGTACCATCCTGATCATGTGCACACATTGTACCCACCCTTTAACTGGCTGAAATAAAGACTTTTTACATGCAACGTGTTTTAGATATTCTAATAATTAGTTGATTGAAGAAAATGAAAATCAAGTTAAAATTTACAAAAACAAAAACTGTTTAAAGCTGCAGTCTGTAAGTGTTGCCTCTTTGTCGCCATCTCTGTTTGAAAACCTGGAATTGCAGCTGTGTGCGGAATTATCTAGCTTGAGTGAGTTGAGAGTCGGCACGGCTCCAGCGTGGATGAATCTAATTTTCTGAAGAGTATGTGTGGCAGTCAGTCACCGCACTGGTGTGGATATTTACTGTACTTCGCAATCACAGATTCTTGCCTATGTCTTGGAATATGACCTAAATAAGTAGGCCTGTCGCGATAATTAAATAACAGTCTAATCGCGATTATTTGATCTAACAACCACGATTATTATGCCTTTTATACGAGACAAGGGGGAGTCATACACCAAAAGAAACAGAAGAGCACCAGTTTGCTTTTCATGCACTGTATAGCCTATACAGGGCTCCAGGCTCATTCTTCCCACTGGTCGCTCTTTTGCAACTAACTTTCTCAGTTGGTCGCACGACCACATGATTTAGTCGCAATATTTTGTATTTTTTTTGCTTTACAACATGGGATTATTCAATGCATGCTGATGAACTTTTATCATAGTTTATAGTTATATGGAATAGGCTTGCCGCGATAGACTGTGCTGACGGTGATACCGGTGTTAAACCACAACACCGATTACGTCACTTGCCCACCGCGTCACCGACCCCCACCGTCGTTTTGATTTTTTATAGAAATCAAAAATAATTTAGTTCAGTAAAAGAACAGACACTACAATTTAAAAACTGAACGCGGCTGCTCAATGCAGCGTGCCGAACGACAGTCGCATCACAGATCAGATTTAATTTCTTCAGTGAGGAGAGTGAGTCGAGCTGACTGACAAGAAGAGTGAGGTGAGACAGACAAGACGATCGCAGATTATTTAGTTTCGAAACCAGATGCAAAAGCGCCTGTTTGGCAATATTTTGGATTTTGAAAAGCCTGTTGACTTTTGTCGTTTATCTAAGGTGATTTTGGAAGTTTTTTTTAAACATTCGTTTCTTATTTAATTGGTTCCACAGTGTTTGTTGAATTTTACTTTATTTAAACTGTCATTTATTTATTATATTTGACATTCGATTTGCTAATACACGTTCTACGTTTCTTATTTATTTGGTTATAATACGTTTACTTATTTCCAGTTTTGTATACCTATTCAAATTTATGTAAGTTATTTGTTATTTTATATTAGGCATAGCCTGCCCTATTGCATGGTGTATTTTTATTTGTTTTGTAATAAAAGTTCTCTCAGTTTTGCCAGAAAACATCTTGATGATCCCCAAGACTTTTGGGAAAATACTCTGTGGTCTGACGAGACAAAAGTTGAACTTTTTGGAAGGTGTGTGTCCCATTACGTCTGGCGTAAAAGTAACACTGCATTTCAGAAAAAGAACATCATAGCAACAGTAAAATATGGTGGTGGTAGTGTGATGGTCTGGGGCTGTTTCTTCCCCCCACAATAATGCCAGCATGTTCGCCTTCTCTGGTTTAAGAAGAGGTCTTTTACATGACTTTCGCTTGAAAATCGTTTCCCCAATATGCGCATCATTTTTGCTGCCCGCACCTTCGCGCTCGTGCTGACGCGGCGAGTATACTCTCTAAGTGCTGTTTCGTTATGCTTTCAGTTTCGATTTCAGCTTGATGTTTCGCATATGCAACAGAAATTGCAGCGCTTATGAGTTCACCAACGCGGTGGTCGCGCCAGTGCAACAGCACACAAAAATTTTGTCGCACAGGCAGAAAAAAATGGTCGCAGTCTGGAGCCCAGCTATATCATCTGAAGCCACAAAGATAAGTTTTTCAAAAATGAAAACAAAAAGAAAAGTAAAACTAACAGTGACCGTGCTTGCATGTTTTTTTTTCCCCCCCACAAGAATACCAGCATGTTCACCTTCTCTGGTTTAAGAAGCGGTCTTTTACTTGACTTTCGCTTGAAAACAATCCATGGTTTCCTCAATATGCGCGTAATTTTTGCTGTAGCTGAGTAGGTATACTCTCTAAGCGCTGTTTCGTTATGCTTTGTTTCATTTGATGTTTCTCATATGCAACAGAAATTGCAGCGCTTATGAGTTGACCAACGCGGTGGTCGCGCCAGTGCGACTGCACACAAAATTTAGTCGCACAGGCAGAAAAGCAGTCTGGAGCCCAGCTATATCATCTGAAGCCATTCCATATCTTAATGTGAGAGACGGAATTTAGGTTTACAGAAATTCATCTTCCTTCTGCTGCAGCATTCAAGCACATCACATTCAGTTATGACAGTCAGCTAGGGATGCAACGATTATAGATTTTGTTGGTACGATTATTGCCTGAGGAATAATCACGGTTTTACGATTTTTACTTCTGAATAATACTACAACAGGGATAGTAAATAACAAAGTGAATGAAGTAGCCTATTATTAATAATATACGACTAATATTAACTTTATTTGTCCCACAGGGGAAACTGTTACTAATGATGGAAATAAACTGAAATATTATTGTAATCCATACGTATTCATTTTAATAATCTTTATAATAAATCATGATTTTACATGTGGCCTGAGAAAATCATGCCTATTATTTTGGTTTGTGAGATCGGAGATCACGCTGCGCACGTGTACAAACATTCAGGAGGACACAAACTTCTTGAGAATGCTGCCCCGTGACTTTTATTAATAAAATAGATTAAATAGCCTACTGGAGAGACGCACAGACGCAGGTAGGCTAATCCACACAGGCAACGGTCACCTCTCTCTCTCTCTCTCGAATAATTAATTCAAGTAGCTAGATGTTATAATTAATTAATTCAAATAAATGTGATCTTACTGCATTATTTCATCTCTTTCTGATCTGAAGCGGGCAGAATGCAGAGCTAACGAGCTGTAGCTTCTCGTCAGGTGGTTCTTGCCCCTTCACGTCGTGCATTAAAATCGTTCAGTGTACAGCAAGCCGTGCATTATCCTCTATGTATTCGCTCTTTAGCAGCAGATTTTTACAGCAATATTTAAATGACACCCTGGTCATTCGTGGTGTACCCAAAATGGTCCCACACTATCGACAGGCATTTCTCTGGTGGAAATAAAGCGTCGCTGTTTGGTCCCTCTGTCACAGTTCATCTAATGCATGTAGTAGCCTCGTGCCTCTGATAAGCACGCCGTTTTAAGCTGGTGCACCGCTAGTGTAACTTTGTTTTCATTTTGCGCAAGCTGCTACAGTTCCGTTCCGTGTAACAGAAACACTCGCTTTTGCGGAACCTTTACGGTTAATTAACCGTGACGTTTTAAAGCGCGGTTAATCGCGATACCGGTTAATCGCTGCATCCCTACAGTCAGCACAGTAAAACTCTCTCTCCAAGATGATATATTCCCATTATAATACTTGAAGTTTAAGGAAGGAATTATCACAAACAGAAAGATTATTAGAAGCCTTTCTTTTTCTCATGATTTCTATCTTTTATTCATGAATGTATTTTGTAAGAATACAAATAGTTAACAGAATAAACATGTTTCAATTGTATAATGTGCACCAAAGATTATTTTTTTCAAGATATTGTTTTTGCTGCTAAATTATGCAGTCAGCTAGTTTAATTTCATAGCTTATATATTTTTATTCAAGTGTAGTTTTTCTCTGTAATGAGGAAGTGAGTATTTAGTGGATTGCATTTAACAAAGGGTTTAAAAGAGTGACCATTAGTTCCACAAACACAGTATTGATATTCTATAGTGGTGTAAGAAAAATAGCGCTGGTGTTGGATCGGTATTGGCCAATTCTTAGAATTTGGAATACTCTATGTAATCTTACACTGCAAAATAATAACTCAAAAAGATTAAAAGATAACATCATAATTATTTACTGAACCCTTAAATTAATCAATTATATAATGAAAGCCATAAAAACAGACAATTAATCGTGATAATCGGCATAACCGCCAAAGCCCTAAAACAGACAATTAATCGCAATAATGTGACTATTTTTTAGACAATTAATCGTCAGCAAAATTTCATAATCGTGACAGCCCTACAAATAAGAATTTTCACCGTATATTGCCATCTAAACAAGTAAGTAACAAGTCTGCCACTTTTGTTCTGACCAACTGAGGAAAAAAGCATTACCATAAATCTCGCTAGCAATGGTGATTAAATCTAAAGATCGGTTAGCTCATATCACATCAAACCGTTCAAATTATTATTATTGTTATACTTTATTCTCAAATGATTAATGTTAACAGCATCAGCATTGGTGACTGAGTATAGTGTGTATTAGCGTGTAGATTTCAATTTCTGCACAGTCTAATCTAATTGACATACACTTCGAATTTCATATTAAGAAATTCTTATAACCCAAAAAGCAAATTATGCTCCCTTCGAACTGATTTTCTTTAAAATTCAAATCTTTGTAATCCCAGGCTATCTGTAATCAAAAGCACCTTTATAACTGGAATATAATTTAATTTCATTCACATGTGTTTCATAAACACATAATCCTTTATGGGTTACAATCCGCCATCAAAATGATACATTTAATTATTCGTTTTAATTTAATTATTACTTCGATAACGATATTAAAAATTTTCAATATAGTGCACGATATAGGTACGTGCTATGAGTGATGCAGACAGCTTACACAAACACGAACACATGCTGAATTGAGTGCTGTGCCTGTCTGTGATGAGGAGATTGTGAATAAAAAAAATTATATTAGTCGAATTTAAAATAAACATTTGCATTTGAATGTTAGGTGTGCATCAGGGAGCGTCATCAGTGGCTCACGAGATATAATTGACGTTGTTGCATTGTAATGTTTTGTTAATCTAGCCCACGAGACGCGCCACTGCTGCGTTATTCATTCAAAATATTAGAGAAATATAGAAGCTCAATGCGGGGAAGATCTTGATTAGGTGAAAACCGAAACCAAGCCATTCACACGGATGCATATTCGGCGCATTTGTTTAGATGGACAAATATGACTGCTGTACTCACGTCTCACACAAGAGATGTAGCCATGCAAAGTTAAAACAGTTTCAACTTTTAGAAAACACGTCGCGAATTTGTGGAACTTTATTCCTTTTCACTGGGTCTCATATGTTTTAAATGCAATCTGGGTGAATGGCGATTTGGCTTTTTGTATTAAGCAATGCCTAAATACATGATGCTGTTTTGTTCATAATTGTTTATGCAATTTATGAAATTATATTTGATTTATATGAGTTAATTTAGAGTTTTTTTTATTGACAGTTATTTCCTTACGTTGACATTGTGTAGGGCTGTCGCGGTGAGGGAATTTCCCTTGCGGTAATTTTGAGTGGCTCAATAGTGCGGTATTATCACCATATATATGTATACTAGGGCTGCACGATAAATCGCATGCGATATTTAATGCGCATCTTGTCAGAAAGTCGGTTCTGTAATCAGCGGCAAATCTCCATCACCTGTGGGCTTTCATATTGAGCAGCATTAACTACACAGAGCCATTGTTCACAGACGAGCTGCGCAAAAAATTGCGCGAATATGAACGTGGTTTTGCGCAGCTCGTCTGTGAACAACGGCTCTGTGTAGTTAATGCTGCTCAATGTGAAAGCCCACAGGTGATGGAGATTTGCCGCTGATTACAGAACCGGCTTTTCTGACAAGATGCGCGTTAAATATCGCATGCGATTTATCGTGCAGCCCTAATATATGCACACACACATATATATCCTCCTGACTAAAAAAACAGTTTTGTGAATTTAGTATTTTGTCATTGTTGTTTAGATCATAAGAAAAATTTTGAAAAAAGTTTTTTTGTTGCTGTTGGAAGAGGTGTTAGTGAGGCCAGCAGGGGGTGCTCACCCTGTGGTCTGCGTGGGTCCTGACTCTCTGTGGTCATTAAAAATCCCATGGCACTTCTTGTAAAGAGTAGGGGTGTAACCCCGGTGTCCTGGCCAAATTCCCTCCACTGACCCCTGTCAGTCATGGCCTCCTAATAATCCCCATCCACTTGATTGGCTCTATGACTCTCTCTCCTCTCCACATGTATCTGGTGTGTGGTGAGCGTACTGGCGCCGTTGTCCTGTGGCTGCCGTCGCATCATCCAGGTGGATGCTGCACACTGGTGGTGGTTGAGGAGAGACCTCCCCCCCCCCACATGATTGTAAAGCTCTTTGGGTGTACAGCAATACACAATAAAATTCATTCATTCATTCATTCATTCGTTCATTCATTCAAATGTTGATTTTTTTTTATTCCAAACTTTATATAAAGATGATTGTCAACTATGTTATGAAAGATATTTTTTAAAAACCATTTTTTTTATTGCAAAGGGTTTAATATATTGTGTGTACAATGGCCATAAATGAGTTTTTCCATTATATACAATATACCTATAAACGGTGTCTAATTTGCATATTAATGTGTTTTTGGGGCAGCATAGAATGAACAAATAAGTGCAATGATGGGAGTAATAATTAGCAAGATTTTCACAATATTTAATAGGAATTGAAGTAAACAGAAGAGAATGACAAAATAACGGCCCACATAACAGAACATAAACCTGACAATAAGATTGTTAGGCTATCGTTAGCCTATATGTATAACAGTTAGTTCCACATGCATGAAGTGTAAAACGACAAGGGCATAAACTTATGGAAAAAGAAAACACGCAAAAATCGCGGTTGCTGCGGTTCTTGCATTCCTCTGCGATTTGCTCGTCAATATTGCGCAATACCGCAGTATTGCGGTTATCGGGACAGCCCTATTTATGTGCGCCATTATTTTGCTCATTGCGCCCTCTTGTGGCCTTGGGAGACAAGCCAAAAGTTTCTTTAAGACCTATTTAATCTGCATATAAAACATTAGAAATTAAAT